GAGAGAGAGAGAGAGAGAGAGAGAGAGAGAGAGAGAGAGAGAGAGAGAGTTGGTGGGGGGGGCGAAGGGGTAAACAGACAGACAAGCAGTCACAGAAAGAAACAGCAAGAGTTAGAGGTTATGTAAAACACATATGCGGTATACTGCTATATTTTCACAGTTAATAATTTTGATCTCACAATATTTATTTCTTTATCCTTTATTTATTTATTATTTTTACTAACAAACTACTGACACTTCTTTGCAAATCTCCAACGCAAACAACTGACACATAAACAAAACCTTATAATTTAACATGGCACAGACAAACAGGCAAATAAGCAATCGTGGTTAGTTAAGCTGTTTTTTTTTTCTCTCTCTCTCTCTCTCTCTGTACCGTAACAGATAAATCACAGGTATTATTCTGAAATCCTGCCGAGCACATTCAGATTTTGAAAAAAAAAAGAAAAAAGAAAATCACTAATGGGTTGTCTTTTTTTTCCTTTTTCCTTTTTTTTTTGTCGTTTATTCGATTATTTTTCATTCTCGCTCGTAATCATGACAATAGTTGTGATGATAATAATAGATGATAATGGGGATGATGACGATGATGATAGTAGCTATGATAAAAATAATGATGACAATGGTAACAGTAATGAAAATGGAGATGGTAACTATAGTAATGATAGTTTCAATGCTAGTAAGGTAATATGTATAAAGTTAGAAACGATAATATTGGCATGGAAAATGATAATGACTTTTACAACAGCAGTATCGATGATAATGATAATAATGACATGAATTCAGATAATATTAAAGGTAATATTAGTAAAGGTAATACTACAACCAAAACTACTTCCAATATTCCTGCCGGTATTTCTAATGATAATGATAACACTGATGATAATAGTGATAACAATAATGATAATTTATAGTAATAATAATGATAATAATAATAATAATGATAATAATAATGATAATGGTGATAGTTATAGTGATAATGATAGCTGTGATGATAATAATGATGATAATGATAATGATAATGATAATGAACGAACAGCATCAACAATAATGATAATGATAACAACAAAAAATATCTAAAAATTATAATAATCATGATCATGATAATTTATCAATAATAGTGATAACAAAGATGACAATACTAATATTGATAAGGATAATAGTAATAATGATAAAAAATAAATTATGATATTAATAATGATAGAATAATAATAATAATAATGATAGAAGTAATGATAATGAAAACAGTAACAGTAATAACACCAACAACAAATAATGAAAGTTATGATACAAACCATAATAATGGTGAATGATGATAACAATATTGATTAGAAAAATTATGATTATGATAATAATAAAAATAATAATATCAGCGATAATGATACTGATAATAATAATGATAATATTGATAGTAATAAAACTGATTATATTAATAATGATAATAACAATAATAATGATAACAAAAGAACAATAATAATAATAAAAATTATAATAACGATAATAGTAATTAATGACAATAATAAGAATGATAATCATAATAATGATTATTAAAATAATAACCATAAAAATAACAATGGTAAAGGTAATACCAGTAATAACAATAATAACAATGATAATGATAATGATAATATTACTATTGATAATCATAGATATAGCAATAATGATAACTACAATAGCAATGATGGTAACTATAATGATAATGATGATAATAGTGATAATAATAATAGTAACACCAGCAACAACAATAATAATGATAATAATAATAATGATAATAATAATAATAATAATAATAATTATAATAATAATAATAATATAATATAATATAATAATAATAATAATAATAATAAAAACAATAGTATAATATGAATACCAGTAATAATAATGATAATGATAATAATAATGATAATTATAATAATTAGAATAATGATAATTTTAATAGTAATGATAATGATAGTAATGATATTAGCAATGAAAACAATAACAACAACAGTAATGCAAATAATAATCGGAGTAATAATAAAATAAAAGTAGTCCTAATGTTAATAATAATAATAATATTAATACTGATAATAATAATGGTGATAATGATTATGATAAAAAGAATTATCATATCAATAGTAATATTAATGGTAATATTTCTAATGATAATATTAATAATGATAATAATAATTGTAATAGTAATGCTAATAATGATAGTAATAATAATTATAATAATAATGATTAATAATGATAGTAATAATAATAACGATAATAATGATGATAATAGCAATGATAACAATAATACTGATGTAATAATAATAATTCTTATGCAAATGGTTGCGATAACATTAGCGATGATATTCATAACAATGATAATAGCAATTTCAACAATAACATGATAACAATGCCAGGAACACGAACAACACTTCAACAGAAAGACGCACACGTACTCACACGGGACCAAGCCTGGCACTACAGAGATTATGCAAATTACAACAGCGAGAGCATAAATAGTCCGACTACATATTCTTTATCTTCTTCATGAGCTCACGAAAATGGCGAACACCTACTTTTACAGGACAAAGGAGAGTTATTCCTCTTTTTCTCTCTTTTTATGTGTGTGTTTATGTGTTTTTGTTGTGTGTGTGTGTGTGTGTGTTTGTGTGTGTGTGTGTGTTTGTGTGTGTGTGTGTGTGTGTGTGTGTGTGTGCGTGTGTGTGTGTATGCTGTTGTAAGTCTGCGTGTGTTTGTGTGAGTGTTTCAGTGTTTATATGTGTAAGTTTATTTATCTGTGTGTATGATTCAGTGCGTGTGTTCGCATACGTATGTACATGCATGTTTGCGTTATAGCAGGCAAAAATATGTTATGTGATTTTAAGGTCCTTCGACT